TCCGTAGGATTTGAACTCTAGACCTGCCACTTGGAGAGAGTGACGACTAGACCACTACACTAAGTCGCCACACCTCTCCCCACCGGTGACAATTTTGAAAAATAGGTCTGTGTATAGTTAATAGCCTTCTATCAGTTGGATCTAAATTAATCTGTAATCTTGATCACACCATCTAGTAATGAAAGCTTCAGCACAATAAATCCAGGGGACTAGAATAACTGAAAACCCGTTTGGCAAGTCCTGAGTTTGAAGGTAGTAGTAATTTATAATGGTATTACAGGAGAGCTGAATTTGAATCGAGGCCTGAGATCGGAGAACCAAGTGACCAGGTTCTAATTGCAGAGGACATACTAGCTGAACTGCTAGGTTGTCACACCAAAGAAAAAAGACATACACTTCAAAAATATGGACCAAGAGGAGGGTATCCTTCAGGCATCTAAAGCCTGGACAGACTAACCCTTCCGAGTTGCCAGCTGAAAGTAAAAGAGAAACTGATAAAGAATCCAAATAAGAAGATAGTCTAAATACGGATACTGGAGTTGCTAGAAACCAAAACAAGGGCAAGAAGTATATAGGCACCTAGTTAGGAAGGTTGGTGCTTAAGAAATGTCTGTAGAATAGCAACACCCCAAAAGATGGTATAAGATACGAATATGGAACAGCAGGTCAAAATGTATTAATTAAGAAAAAGTTATAGAAACAAGCATGTGAATACATGTGTGAAACATATACTGCTATGTTAGGTTTACTTCAAGGATAGACTAGACCTATATGGATTAGTAAATCCTAAAGCAGGGTACAAAAGCCAATGTGAGGTGATACCAATATCTACTTAGTTTAGTGAGAAAACCCTCCGGGTTAAAGGACCAATGGAGGTAGTTAGAACCAGATAGTTTAAATAGGTACCTCTCTAGTTGGAATGCAAGTACGGCAGATATGTAGAACCTTCAGGTGGACTACTTAAATTAGACACTCAAAAGGTGCACATGTAGCTTGATATACTATCGTTGTAATTACATATAAAACTCTGTCTATACTCTAATAAAAAGTTCCTTAGGCCAATGAAGATTACCTTAATACTAAAAAAAAAAAAAAAATTAAATTTAATTTATTAATCATAATTAATTATAATCAGACTTCTCTAAATATATAGTATTGGGACTATAATAAAAATTTTTAAAAACATGCATTTAAAAAGGTTATATATTTAAAGAAATAAAAATCTATAAGTATTATATTAAGTTGGGCCAAAAAAAAAATATGCATTTAAGAAGATTTTACATAAATATGTATTTAAGAAGATTGTATTTAGAGAGGTCTAACTGTAGTTGATTGGTTAACCAATTAATTAATTGATTGAACTAATTAATTAATTAATTGAACTAATTGATTAATCAATTGAACAACTAATTGATTAATAAATTAAACAACTAATTGATTAGTTAATTAATTGATTAATCAAATAAAATCGATAGTTGAATAAAATAATTTTTAACTAATCGATTAAAAAATTTTTGACAATTTATAACACTAAAAATAACTATATTAAATTATATTTTAAATAGTAAATTGCAGTTAAAAAGATATAAATTTCATAGTAAAATTAGCAAAAAATTACTATTACTTTTATATATAGTTAAATCTCCCTAAATGCAACCTTCTTAAATACATACTTATATAAAATCTTTCTAAATATATACTTTTTTTTTGGCCCAACTTAATGTAACACTTATAGATTTTTATTTCTCTAAATGCATAACTTCTTTAAATACATGTTTTTAAAAATTTTTACTATGGTTCCAATGCTATGCATTTAGAGAGATTTGACTATAATATTAGAATACTAAAAATTTTTAATAATCTTGTATATAGTTATAAAGATGAAAATACCAATAACTCATAATTTTACCAATTTAATTTAAATAATTTTTTTACTATTAAAACCAGAATAACCTGCTTTATAATCTTTGTTAAAAATTCAAAAAGATTTAAAAAAGCTTTTTATTATAAGCTATATAGCTATATTTCAATTTTATAAAAAAACTATATACAGTATAAACTTCTAGCAATTTTTACTATTAAATTTGCTATTTTTATACTTTTAAACCACGATTTACCTTTTAAATTTTAAAAATTATAATTAACAATTTCTATTTAAATACTAGATGTATAACAAAAATAAAGAAATAACTAAAAATAAATAATATTTTAAAATTTTGCTTATAAAACTATCCTTTAAGCTTTAAGAAAAAATTTTTTTGCAAAATTTTGGTAAAACCTATAATTTATCCATTTTAAACTCTACCACCAACTCTAATATTAATTAAAAATTTTTTTGTTTATTGTTTAATTTATATTCTATGTATATATACCACTGCCTGTTTTTTTAACATCTAAAATGTGCTAAGAATAACAAAGCACATTTGTCAAGTAACACAATTATAATCAAAGTGTATTCGTTTTCGGATATGTCTTGTAACATTAAATAATTTATAACCTATTATGGGAAATTACTGAAAATTCACTACGTGAAAGTTTATTCAGAATGTGCATGAGAAAACGGCACTGCTCCTTGATGTAAATACGGAATTTCATTAAATAACAGCAACAACAGTAGCAGCATCAATAGCATCATACATGTACGTACTAAAACTCGCATTTTACATAAAAGTATATATACCATCAAGAATAATAAGTAAAAAGATTTATCGTACAAATAAATCGAAACACATTTTTATATATAACAATCAAACGTTTTTAAATATTGATAAATTACCTATTTAAACAGTTACTAAAATAGGTAAATATTTTCCTAAAGCTTCCTAATCCCTGCAGATAAAATACCAAAATCTATATATCGTCATTCATTACTTTTTTTTTTTCCTAATATAATTGGATTCATATCTATGTCAATATCTAACATAACTAAATGCGATAAAAATCATAAATTCGACTTAAATCATAATATTTAACGACCATACATTCTAATTTTAAACCGAACAATCACAATATCCTGAATCAGAATCGACAATAGTTGAATCACTTGAGTCGATATCTACAATCGTTTGACTTGAGGAATTACTTCTAGCATAATCAAAATCGATTATTTTCAATTCATTAGAATCATTACTTGACGCATTGGTACGAGGTCGCTTATTACCTTTCGGTTTCTGTAAATGAAAAGTAACAATATATATTAAATCTATCATTGAAAATCATAAAAAAATAATGCATACTTTGATTGGAGTGAATACGCCATTTTTGAAACAATGTTCTTCTTCAGGATTGATAGTCCAACAATGCAATCTATCCTCTTGTCTAGGTACTCTTATGAAAGCCGAATTGAGAGAAAGATTGTGACGAATAGAATTCTATTTTGGTTGATTATAAATATAGTAAATTTATGTAAATGTGATGAAATAAAGAAATGATATTTTAGAGTACCTTCCAACCATCTTGATCCTGTTTATAGAAAGGATAAGTGTCCGAAATCCACTTATAGATTTCTGCTAGAGCAAGTGTCCTTCCAGGAGCTTGCATTAATGCCTGACCAATCAAAGAAGAGTACGAATAACATGGTTTTACATTAGGATTTCCAGGCGCACTAAAAGTAGAGATTTTTGGAGCGGTGGATTTGGAGGTATTATCACCCTTGGCTATCGAGGGTGCTATATTTGTCTTGGCTTTAATAACAGTATGTGAATTGGATATTGGTCTATCCATGCTTTCTACTTTTGTTTTATGGGTGGAAGGTAAAATTGGAATTTGTTTGTCAAAATCTTGAACCTTCATCTTGAAGGTATATGTTGTAGGTGGATCTATGTTTTCTACAACTTTACGGACCGTTGACAAAGTTGATAAAATGGGCAATGGGGCAGGGATCTGTGGATCTGACTTTGCTTTACGCTAATAATAAATGATAAATAAAATATTAGTATAATATATAACGATAATCTTAATATTAAATAACGCGCCCACTTATGACATTTTTAACAAATTATTTGATAAATTCTATCATGTACAGTAATAGCTAATTGCATTGCCTCACAGAAATACTAATCAAATACATCATTATCAATAAAATAGTCATAGAATTTTTAATTTTATTTGTTTTTAATCAATGACAAATTAGCCAAGAACGCGTCAATTCATTACTTGATGATTTCCACCTTTGGAGAAATTAGATTATATAAACTCACCTTGGATGACCGAGTCGCGATATGGTAATCTGGTATCTCTGTCAATTTCCTGTTCAATATCTCCTCCATTGTAGGCATGGTGTCCATTTTTGTTAAAGATTTTCTTGTATATTGAGGAGTAGATAATATTTGAGAAAAAGTAGCGGGGGTAGAAGAATATCTCTCTTCCTTTACTTCGAATGTGAAACTACGCTTCGCATCTAAAACTTCCTCCATAAGAGGTAAAGTTTGGGAAAAATCATATGGGGAATATGGAGACGAATCACTTGAAGAATCATAATTTTCTTCAGGCTCTTCTACCTTGACGCGCCGGTTCACGTTCAGTATCTCCTCCATGGTAGGTAGTCGTGGAAGTTTAGGAGGTTGTAGTGGTATACTTCGAAAAGTTTCCGTCCATTCATAACGATTAATACTGTGTGAAGATTTTATTTTTTGCTTTTCTTTAACAACGCGGTGCTTGGTTTCTAAAAGATCTTCAGTTTTAAGACTCTTTTCCTTTTTTGTAAGTCGGCCATTAAGTACCTCCTCCATAGTTGGAATCACAGCCGTACTACTAGGTGCGGGTAAAATATAAGAAAACCGTTGACTTTCCTTATTCCGCGAAGACCTCTCTCTAGGCATTTTTATATTTTTTTTTTATTTATTTTTTTTTTCTTTTATACTGTTCTCTTTGAATTCAAATGCAAGAGGTAAAGAACAGAAATTGGTTTCAACGTGCGTCAAAACGAGAAACAATCCAAATATAATAAAATTAATTCTTTTTTATTGAATTCTCATGTTCGGTTTGTTGATTTGATTGACTTTGTAAGCAAATATTTTTTTTTTTGGGGTGCCCCTATTTCTTATTGGCTAGATTAGTGCCGGGCGGAATTTTGAGGTTACATGAACGCGACCGCGACAAAAAAAAATGCATGTGATATTTGTATGTACTATGCTGAAATTATACAGTAACAGTATTAATTTATATTACAAATAATAAATAATTTTTTTTTTTATCCGTTCGCTTATCAGGTGAGTGGTCTCCTCAAGTGATGGGCAATTTGACGCGTATCATCAATGACCTTTGCACTTAGCCAATCAAGATACACGCGGATCATTCAGAGAAGATTTCTATTTAAATGAAATCCTCGAACGTACTTTAGTACTTGTAGGATTGATTCCCTTCTCAACTCATACTCCTAACGAAAAATTTTTTTTCTTTTTTCCTTTTTTTTTTTTTTTTTTGAAATCTTACAGCTTAAAATTATAAAATTGAAATTTGAAAACATAATGTATATGAAAATGAAAAATTTTGTACACAGATTTCTGTAGCATAAAAATCCCACAAGACTAACTTGGAAATAATATAATAATAATAATAATAATAATAATAATAATAAAAATAATAATAAATTTCTGAAAATACAATAAAAACATATCATAGAAAAAAGACACCTATATATCTACAACCAAAATTTAAAATTCCGGTAAAAAAAAAAAGAAGAGTAAAAATAGAAATAATAGCCACAAATGATTTCATATACTTATCATTATGCTGCTATTCTAAAAAGTATTTTTTTTTTCCCTTTAATGTACATACTACAATTTCAACTCTCCCAAAATTTTCGAACACATATTTTTATATTGCCATGGATCACCAGCAACTCTGCGGAATTGTAATCCATGTACTCCAAGTAAAAGGGGAACTTTAACAATAAAAATCTCAAATCTCACAACAAGATCCGTAACATTAGCAGAGTTAGAGTTAGAGTTAGAGTTAGATACCGAAGAATCATTGCCGGATTGATTACCAGAATGTGCATTAGCCGGCAATGAAAGTCGAACCTCGCCATCAGCCGAGAAACGAAGATCTTGTCCTTGAGCGTAACTATCTTTGTATGATGTTGAGGATGATGTTGAAGCAGCAGAATTACCAGATGAGTGACTGCCTCTACGTTCATTTCGATTAAAATGAGTGTGATGATGATTTGTGATTCCTCCCGGGGGATAGTTGGAAATAACAACAGACTTTAAGTCAATGCTCGGTATGTGAACACATTCAAAGCCACCTCGACCTTCACGCCACTTGACACCAATTCGATCAAGTACTCTTATAAGATCTAATCGAATTATTGAAGGAGGTTTTGTGGAAGTTGTTGCAACGCTAAACAAGCCTTTTAGATATACCGGTCGAATCCATGAATCAGCGGTGCCACCTGGTAAAGGTGAGTGTGGAGAGGAAGATGGTGGAAAATTGAAATCATTGTCAATAACTTGTTGATTCGTATTTGTATTAACATTTATGGTCATTGGTGCACCGATAGAAGTGCTTCGCTGATGTGAAGAGCGGTTTATGTTAACAGTTGTAGACTTATCAGATTGTGGATTATGTTGCGATAATGGTTCAACCAATTGTGGTAAAACACCAACAGGTCCTTTAATACTAGAATTCTTTGTAGAATTATTTCCACTTGTACCACTATTACCATTAGTACCACTAATAACACTCTGAGGCCTATTATTTCCACTTGTACCACTATTACCATTAGTACCACTAATAACACTCTGAGGCCTATTATTTCCAACAGAATTTCGTTGCCTATGACGTCGATAATCTGCTTCGGAAATGGATGTGGCCCTCGATATTATTGTTGATATCCTGTGGGAGAAATGATTAGGATTTTCTTTCTTTGGACCATTTGGAGTGGATCCATGGCGACGATGTTCCGTATGGCCTCTTGATGGTGTGTGTGTTGGAGAGATTGGAGAAGATGGAGGTGATACGGGATCACGAGGTTGGCCAACTATAGCTAAACTCAAGCGCCTAATTAGTCCACCGCCAGCACTGCCACTATTTGCGGATAGTTCAATGCTCTTTTTGCCATAATTCAACTCACCACTAACTTCATCCATTGTTTCTTCGGGAATTTCTTTCTCTTTTATAACAGGTGTACCTACTGAAGTATTTTTCATATCACCTTCAACGCTAGTACGTGAGCGAGGTCTCGTTCCGGAAGGAACAGTTGCACGTCTTATCACTTGTGAATTTGGACTTGTCCCAGGTGGTACAACTGGACGCATGTTATCAAAACCAGCGTCATTTGAATAGGATGGGTCAGGCATAGAAATGTAGGGTACTTGCAAGCTATTTGTATCAAGTGAAGATGAAGAACCAAATTGAGGAATACCACCTTGTTGTATTAAACGATCTCGTTCAAGTTTTTCTTTAACGAGATAATAAATTGAGATTAATGGATGAACAGCCTGTGTTGGATCAGCCGAAATGGATTTGTCTTCTTGAACCGAAACGCTAGAACCCGATAATTTTCTACGATAATATTCGAAGCCACTGGTTCTTCTTCTATTGTCGTATGATCCACCAATATTATTGTAGTGTTGAGCTCTAATAGAACTTTGATAAGAATCACTTTTAATGATACTTTCCAAGCGAGCTTTTATTTCATGCTCGGTACCAAATTCAAAGCCTGTCATTCCGCGAATAATTTCAGGATCTAGCGGAAGAGTGAGTGGACTTCTTGAGGGTAAATAATTTTCCGGAGGACCATCGTATCCTTTATTCATCCAAGGATGATTCATTACTTCAGCAAGTGTAGCACGATACATTGGATTGGTAACAAGCATTCTCGAAAGAAGATGTTTACAATCTTATAAATAACAAAATTTTAGTATTAAAAAAAAAAGTATATATACATATATATATATATACATATATATATATATATATATATATATATATGGGTTGCCGTCAATAGAAATCAAGCAGATTAACTTTTTTTAAGATATCAATCTGCTTGATTTCTATTAACAGCAGCCCATATATATATGTGTATTATCAATAAAATTAACATTTATAGAAGCTTACCGCTACTTAACCATCCAGGATATTCAACCACACCCCTTTTAATCTTTGCGTGCAAAGCAGGCATGCTTTGATCATCGAATGGTACTTTACCACAGACAAGAACGTAAAGGACAATTCCAAAACTCCATACATCAACCTCGGGTCCAGTGTACAATTTTGCATTTAATAATTCTGGTGCAGCAAAATATAATGAACCACAAAATGTTGAAAGATGAGAGCGTGGTGAATATAAATTTGATAGTCCAAAATCAATAATTTTAATAGAGCCGGACTTGGATATAAGGATATTTTCAATTTTTAAGTCTGATACATTCATAATAAGGTAAGAGAGTAAGATTTTAGAGTTAATATTACTAATGACATTAATAATTGAAGCCTTTAAAATATTTAAAACATTTGAAATTAAATTATATACATACCTCGATGTACTATAGAATTTCTGTGACAATAGTCTATTTTATAAAAAAAAAATATATATATACGTATGTATATAACAAATTAGCAGGGTATTTAATATTAATAATAAATTATTATTTTTTACCAACCCAATGCGCTTACTATCTGCCTGGCAAATTTCCGAGCATGTTTCTCTTTTAATTTTCCATGGCTGATGATATAATCCAACATTTGACCGCCATTAACATACTCGAAAAACATATAGTAATGGTTTGGTAACACCATTACTTCTTTAAGTTGAACTATAAAAGGATGGTTCAACAAAAGCATTATTGCAGCTTCTCGAATGGTGCGAATTTCCTTATTATCATCTTTAGATGTGTCCTTGTCTTTGTTATCTTGAGATTTGTCTGATGGAAGTACCCTCGGGATAATCTTAACAGCCAACTTGATAAAATACAAGAATTAAAAATGAAATTATTAATCAAGAGTAGGAGTGATGGCACGGAGGCTTGATGCATTTTAATTATAGTATTGTCATGTGCTTCATCATAAAATAACTTTAAATTCAGAATTATTGTATTAAATAATAGTCTATAATCACTATCATTTAGAATCAAATCTTTATCTATTATTATAATTATCACAATTTATCAAAAAAAAAAAAAAAGGCAAAAAAAAAACAATCTATTTATACCTTTTCACCTGTTAATGAATGTATTGCTAATTTTACTTTCCCCATGCTGCCAGCACCCAATGTCTTTGTTAGCGTATAGTTACCAAGAACTTTTTTTGGCTTAATTCTTGCTCGATTACTACTAGTATCTGAAGCAGTAGCTTCTCCGGTAGGATCAGAAGTTGAAGCACTATGTGCTTGAACATTTGTATTTTGCTGACATTTTGATGTATCTTTAGATGCGCTTTTAGTATTTGAGTTTGTTATCTCACCTCTTTGTAATAAAAAATGCATTATTATTAACAACAATCAAATAGTTATTTCTCAAATATTGGCATTATGACAAAATTTTTAAATATCTTGAGCTTTATTAAAAAAACTACCTGTCACACTGTTGTGAATCGTCAGGTGGTGAATACTCGGGTAACTCCGAAGGTAAAGGCGAATCGCGTAATATTGATGGGCCATTGTTTTCAACTTGGAGCAAGCTATCCTCATTATCTGATCCTTGCATGGCAACATCGGGGTCAAGGTTCTCGCTAGCTGGATGGAATTGTTCACCTTCGTCTTCCGTCGAATAGCGAGAATTATTACCATCCATGCTTATGGAATAGTCGTCCAATACTCGGTGTGTTTTACTTTGGGTTTTGTGGCTTGGACTGGCATATCCATTTTCTTGGCTTGTATCTTCTATGGAAGTTGATGGTATGTCTTTTTTTGTTGAATCTTTATAACAATGTTTATCGTCCATCGAAGTAACTTTTGGTATTGCAGTCATTGGTCGTGTGGTTGGCATGTAGTTTTTGATAATGCAATGAAAGAAAGATAATGATTTTAGAAGATAATTGTCGATTAAAGCTCTATGAAAATATTTTGTTGAGTGGAGTCTCTTGTCACAAGATAACACTCCGTGCAGATATAAAACCTTATTGTAGCACAAAATGAAAATAACTAAGCCGGAATTCAAAAATGTAGTGCAACAATGTTCTTTAATTTTATACTGTACACTGAAGTACATATACATTACATATAAAATATATCACCTAATGAACCTAATGAAAACATTGTGCTCTTTTAGGATACGTTCCTCGCGTGCCTTATAATATCGAATGTTAAGAAAACATGTACCCAATAAAGGTTACTTTATTAAAGAACGTTTTTAAATATTGGCTAATAAAAGTGGCGCAACTTTATATATGCCAAGCCCACTCATCTATTAATTCATTCATTTCAGCAGAAAAAAAAAAATTGATCAGATTTATTTAGGTAAAGCTGATGTCTAGTTAGCAGCATTCCTAAAATAGCTTCGTGCTCCATTCGGACATTATATTTAACAATCGTACTACCGTACAATTGTGCTAACTCTAAAAATAATAAATTGATACCGATACGCATATTAATTTTTTTTTATAAATCACAAATATTTATTTATATCGTTATTTCAATGCACAAATGCGTTATCTACGTATTAAATTTATTTGAATTCTGTTATGATTTTTAAAATTAATTGATAACAAATAAAGAAAAACCTTTAAATCAAATATATAATAGATTATTAAAAGGAGTATATTTTATTGGCAATCTTATTGGCAATCAAGTTAAAAAAAGATCAAACACTACGTATAATTTACTGGTTATGTAGAATTAAAATTTTATTATACCGATCAATAAAAATTAATTTAAATTTTGAAAGAACATAATGAAAATCCGATTTCTCTCTTTAAGATGAATCAAGTGATATAATATCTTTCGATACCGGTCACCGGATCACCTTTTTCTTTATCTAATAAGAATTACAGGTTTTTCCTTTGCGGCATTCATAAGGGAGAGGAGGGTATTATGGCGCACCTAAGCTGCGCTGCTAATTAAAATTTTATAAATTAATATTTATTACTAAAATTCACTTAACCAACTAATTTTATGCTTGACTATCTGAAAATGAAAAAAAAATAAGGTACTATTACTAAAAAAATTTGTTTATTACGACTTTTTTGAAAGCAATTTTTTAATCGTTATTTAATTAGGTGCACTTAAAAATGTGAAGATCTTCAAACTACATAAGTTACATAGTTGATAATTTTAGTACGAAAAAATCAAGATGAAACCCGATATAATAAAATCGCATAATCTATTATGCATTACTAATGGTAGCATCAATTTTTTTTTTTTTATGTAAACGTTCCTCTTTTCTTTGCTCTAATTCAACTCTTTTTTGCGCTTTTTTAGCTTCCTGATCAGCTTTTTTTTTGGCTGCTTCTTCTTTTTTTTGCTTTGCACTTTCTGCCTTCTTTTTTACTGACTCGTTTGCTTCTTTTAATTGTTGTAGACTTTCTTCATTAGTAAGAAGCCGAGCGGATGGAAAATTTTTTCTTTTCTTTGGCTGGACAGACTCTGCTTTGACTTGTGTTGAAACTCTTGAAGTAGGATATTTAAGAGATAATTTTAATGAGCAAGTACCAGGATTTTTAAATGTCTCAAGTTCCTCTTGAGTTAATTGGTAAGTTCATTTTATGGCTGCATTTTCTTTTTTTAAAGAATCAATTTCCGTTAAAAGTTCATTCACTCTAGAAATATTAATCCAAGCAGAATTATTTGGATGGATTAAATAATTCAGATGAAATGAATTATTTGAATAGAGTGAATTATTTAGTTAAATGGATGATGTAGTATTTGGTGAAGGCAGCTCTTCAACTTGTGCAGATGAAGGTAAAGTATCGATTTGATCAACCTGTGTAGATGAAGATAAATTATCAATTTGTTCAGTTGATAGAGAAGGACCAAGACGATCTGGGCTTATAGCATTAGGGTTAAAAGGCCAAATTCCCGTAGCTCTATAGCATTGGTAATTGCTTTGGAAGTGTAAGTTTTAATAAATGCTGGTCCAAGCATTTTTGCAAATGTGTGTTTAGTTACTATTTCGCTAGTTTCACTGTGAAGTTTGTCACAACCGTTACTGTATTCGGTTTTAAGTTTAGCGAAAGGAAGCTCAGAAGACTGGAAAACGTGAGTAGTGTGAGGTGGGAGTGCATAAAGTAGAATTTTATTTTCATGACAAAAGTTAACACTCAAGTAATTAATATGACTTTTATGTCCATCTAGTATTAAAAGAACAGGTCGACTAGATGAAATAGATTTAATAAAATGTTCAATGTACATCTGAAAAAGATTTTCGCGCATATACCCCGAGTCAGTAAATCCCATAATACTACTAGCTGGAGCACTATTTAACAAATCTGGAATTGTGCGAACACCTTTATAAATAAATAATAGAGAAATATAACCACCAGTGGCTGAAATTGTTGGGGCAACAGATATATGTTTATGGAAGTTGCCATGTGCTACTTTATGAACTTGACGAGAACCTTTGGCAGCAAGAACTTTTTGAACTTTAGAAAATCCAACAAATCCAGTCTCGTCCATATTCCAAATATGGTCAGCAGTGAGTGAATTTTCTTGAATTATTTTTTGAAGCTTATCAAAGTGATCTTTTACAATTGTTGGATTTGCCTTTTGTATACATGCCTCTGTGAGAGCCTGAGGCACACGAAAAGATAGATCAGGATAGTCTTTTAAAAAGCGAGACCACCAGACCTTGCCGGGTCCATTGGCTTTAAAAGAATGCTTTCGATTGTCACTGTTCATGATATTCATTATGCAATAGTTTACTCCAGACTTGGTAAGTCCAAATCAAAGTTTTTGTATATTTTTACAATATCCAACTAATTGTAGTTCTTTATGATAACTTAAAACTTTTGGAGAACCAGGGCGATTCGGCAAGCTATTATTTTTATTTGCACGTCGTAAAGTTGTTTTGGCAACTTTAAATTTTAACACAGTTGCTTGTATGCTAGGTTGTCGGTGCTGCTAAGTGCTTCAAAAGCTAATTCAATAGCTTTGGGCTTAGATACAATTTTGGAGCTCATTTTGTTTTTTTTTAAAAAGATTTATTTTTTTAACCAGCAATTTACAATTTTGTGCTGCTTTTATGTGATCACGATCGTGATCGTAATTGATTATTTTAGAAAATTCGCTTTATTATTTTAATCACAACCGTGATTGTTTTTTATATTGCATTTTTGTATGCAATCACGATTGTGATTAAATATTATTCCTTAATAGAATCAATTATGATTACGATTGTGATCGTTTTGTGTCTTTTGTATACAATTACAATCTTGTTTTATGGCTTTTGTATGCAATTATGGTCTTGTTTTATGGCTTTTGTTTTTTAGACAATTATTACAAAATAAAATTAGACTAAATTATTAAAATTGAAATGGAATCTAACTAAATCTGTATAGTATACAAATAAACAAATATCATTTTTACTAAATTTGTAAATCAAATAACAAGCAGAAATGTTTTTCGAATAACATAAAAATAATAAATTTTGTTTATTGCTCGCGAAAAAAAATTCAAAAAAAAGATTTGCATTAAAAATGGAATACCCTTCTGATCTACAATATGAAGAACCTAACAATGCAGTCTCAATTCTTTATAAAAATTTAATCAACAGTACCTATGACCCTAGTGAATTTAAAGATCAGATAAAATTTACTCTTCTGACTTTCTATGACTGGCTAATCGATATTATAAAATACTTTTTAAAATTAATCATTACTAGTGGTGTGAGCGCAATGCCGTAATTGGTCGTATTAATTTCACAAAAACTCAATTATATCGTGATCCAGTGATC